GGAAAGCTGGTTCAGAGATTAAGAAAGAATTAAAAGCTGGAAATACACACATAGAATAAGTTACATGAATAAGTTTAGTTTATTGACGCACAAAATAATCATTCAAAGGAGATTTCACCAATGAGAGGGTCTTCCACATGAATTCTAAGTAAAGTGTTAAAGCAAAATTTGAATATACTTAAATTTGCTATATCACATTTTAGGATTTTGAAAAAGTAATAAATGATAATAAAAAAGTAGAATACCTTAAGGTATCTTGCAACTTCAGGATTAAACAGAGGTGTTTTGATATAATGTAAAAAGAGTGTTGCAATTCTTTTTCTGAGTCCTTCAAGGTTGTGATGTTTGACTCCTCTCATCATAAGATCAACCTCTCTGTCAATCAATTCTAGAATATCCTGAGTCAGTTTACATTCATGTTCCTACACAAAACACAAGAATGTTCAGTACAAAATTTTAAAATTAACTGTTTTTGAAATTACCATCCGAACAAACCAAAAACTATAATCTAAAAAAAAAAAATGAAACATTGCTAACAGTAATATAAATTGCTAAAACTAATTTGGGAAAAAAATGTCATTATCTAATAGTAGAGTTGAAGATATGCATAATCTATGACCCAGCAATTCTACTCTCGTGTGTTTTAGAGAAATGTACACATAGAGCTCTATTGTTCACATTAGTCAAAAATTAGAAACAACAAAATATCCATAAAGAAATTGATTGCATAAATAATTATTGTTTACTCATACAATGGAATATCATCTAATATATGGAAAGGAATTATCTATAGCTATATACAATAATAAGCTTAACTCTTACAAATTAATTTTGAGCTAAATAAGCAAGGCACATACATATAGTGCCTTGCTTACAAATAATACATATAGTATAATTTCATTAAGTTAAATTAAAAAATTAGCAACACTAAACCATATTATTTAGATATTTATACAGAGGTGGTAAAACTATGAAGAAAAATCAAAGAAATGACTACCATGAAAATCAGTATGGTAGTTACTTCTAGGAGATGAGAGGAGGGATTATGATTAGAAGGGGAAGGGGGACCTGGAAATGTTGGTAATGTCCTGTTCAATATTACCTAAACTGTACATATATATTGTATTCATTCTTCTTCATGCTTATTATAGCTCACAATAATT